CGGCAGGGAGCTCCCCTCCAGGCCGTCCCAGCTGGACGTGCCGGCCGCGGAGCCGCAGACCCGGCTCTTGGCCGTCGATGGGACCTACCCTGGCAAACCCAAGAGCCCGGGCGCCGCGTGCGGGGCCCTCGAGACGGGTCTCCCCGCGACCCCCTCTCCAGCTGACGGCAGCAGCAGCAGGGCTGTCTCCCCCTTCGCTAAAATCCGCAGCTCCATGGTCCAGGTGGCCAACATCACCCAGGCAGGCTTGACTCAAGGGATTAATTTTGCCGTGGCCAAGGTCCAGAAGAGCCCTGCGGAAGCAGAAGCTCTAAATGAGGTCAAGCAAAAGGAACTGAGGGAAATGTTTACGCAATGCCAGACCCGAATAATTCAAATTTAGTCGCTAACGTAGGAATTACTCTTCTCCTGGTGGCTTTTCCTACAATACTGCAAAGATCACATCAGAGCTCGCAGTAGCATGAACTGTTACCGAATACTGGGATCAAAAACACCATTTGTTTACAGGAAGTGTGTGATGCAGATGAATTTGGTTCTGACCAAGCTTCAGGATCCTCTCAAGGAGCTGAGACAGAAGGGTAAACTGTGTTCAAACAGGTAGCCTAGACACTGGGTTCGTGAGCATGCTGCCCACCTTCAATGTGTTGCGCAGGTTTTTTTGAGACTAGTTTTGTAGATCCTCCAACTTATGTAGAGTATTTATACCAAAAGGGTGATATTGCACTTCTGTGACCTTATTTACCTTGCACTGCACCAGCAAAATAACGGATAGATTTACATTTTATTTATTTTTGGACTAGTATTTTTACTTATTTTCATTGGGAATTTTAGACACAGCTTTCTATGAATCGTGCCTCTACAATGAGAACTGTGTTTTCTGTTGTATTTGGGTATGTTAGGAATTTTTTTCCTTTCTGCTATCCTCTTCCTCACTTCCTGGGACACTTTCAGGAAAGATCAAGTATACGGATGCAATCTGAAATATCCATGATCCTGCAGTGCGAAGAGTTCATAGGTGTTTTTTTTTTTTTTTTTTTTTTTTTTTTCGCAGCTCCATGGTCCAGGTGGCCAACATCACCCAGGCAGGCTTGACTCAAGGGATTAATTTTGCCGTGGCCAAGGTCCAGAAGAGCCCTGCGGAAGCAGAAGCTCTAAATGAGGTCAAGCAAAAGGAACTGAGGGAAATGTTTACGCAATGCCAGACCCGAATAATTCAAATTTAGTCGCTAACGTAGGAATTACTCTTCTCCTGGTGGCTTTTCCTACAATACTGCAAAGATCACATCAGAGCTCGCAGTAGCATGAACTGTTACCGAATACTGGGATCAAAAACACCATTTGTTTACAGGAAGTGTGTGATGCAGATGAATTTGGTTCTGACCAAGCTTCAGGATCCTCTCAAGGAGCTGAGACAGAAGGGTAAACTGTGTTCAAACAGGTAGCCTAGACACTGGGTTCGTGAGCATGCTGCCCACCTTCAATGTGTTGCGCAGGTTTTTTTGAGACTAGTTTTGTAGATCCTCCAACTTATGTAGAGTATTTATACCAAAAGGGTGATATTGCACTTCTGTGACCTTATTTACCTTGCACTGCACCAGCAAAATAACGGATAGATTTACATTTTATTTATTTTTGGACTAGTATTTTTACTTATTTTCATTGGGAATTTTAGACACAGCTTTCTATGAATCGTGCCTCTACAATGAGAACTGTGTTTTCTGTTGTATTTGGGTATGTTAGGAATTTTTTTCCTTTCTGCTATCCTCTTCCTCACTTCCTGGGACACTTTCAGGAAGGATCAAGTATACGGATGCAATTTGAAATATCCATGATCCTGCAGTGCAAAGAGTTTGTAGGTGTTTTTTTTTTTTTTTTTCCTTTTTGCTGGGCAAGGGGGAACGGAGTTGTCGGCCTCTAGGTGTCTTGCTCATGTCCAAGCTGTGCAATTTTCTTTCCCTGTCTTCACGCTGTCTTCACGCTCGGTGTAAGCAGGACGGTGCCCGGCCCCGGGGCAGCGCGGGGCTCCGGGGTGCTCCCTAACGCAGGTGTTGGCTCTCTTCTCCTTCCTTTCCCTGCACTAGTCTAACTGCCCAGATGCAAAAGCTCAAGCAGCTGCTTCCAAACCAGGTAAAACTCTCTTCCACGCGCTCAGTGTTGATGCTGGAGCACAGCGGTGGGAAAGTCCAATCCAGTTCAGCTCTGCAGAGCGGCTGCTGAACGGGCGCTGTGTGCGAGTCGCGGCTCGGGTCTCCCTCCATCCTTCCCCTTTCCCACCTCTGCCCTGTGATGCCACCCAGTGTAGGGCATCACCCCAGAGCTGTGGAAAGCAGGATTCTCCCAGGCTGTGGTTCAGGATCTTCCCCCGTTACAGAGGCAGTGCCGTGCGTGTTGTCCCTGTGCTGTAGATAAGCTGCACGTGGTGTTCCCCAGTGTCCTGTGGGCATCGGGGTGTCTCCAGCTCCTCTAGCGTATCGGAACCCTTAGCTACTCACCCTTAGTGTCTGCAGCTTTGATCAACGACTTTGACTTATTTATTTGTTTTATGAAAGTGATGTGGTTCTGGGTTGAGTGTCTAAACCTGTGGCTATATTTAAAATACTGTTGTATTTTAACGTGAGCAATATACATGAGATATTTTAATAATAAAAAAGTGGAATCATAAACTTCTTGGCCTCTCATTATCAACAAATTCAGCACATCACTGGAGATGGTGCTCCGGCTTTTAGGGTTCGAGTTTAAAAGGCTTGGGGTCTTTGTCATTTATTTGTTTTATTTTTCTCCTCCCTGAGTCAGGGTACGCAACCATCTTCCTTAATATCATCCTTAATCCTTTCCTCCTGGGGTTGTGCTCCTAGGAGCTGGTCCTCAGAAAAACCAAGCCATAGACAGTCATCAGGATGTTCTTGAGGTGTCTAAGGAATCCTCCTTTGGGGGGATTCTCCCCATGTCCTTGGAAGGGCCTGGAAAATACTCTGACACTATTTTGGTAGAAGGGAGAAAAAGGGATTGGTGTAAATTCTTACACAGTGACTACTTCCACTCTCTAAAATTATTGTTAAAATTTATGATGCAAGACTGCAAGGATCCAAGTACCTGACATGTTTTATGGGTTTGTGTTTTAGCAGGGAGTTTAAGCCATCTGGGGCCTATATTCTAAGAAATTTCTGGTTTGTTGCATTGATCTATCAGTTGTTACTCACACAATGTCTTTTCAGCTTGTGAATGATGAAATACTTAGGAATAGCAGATAGTCTCAAACCACAGCAGGAAGTTTTGAGTTTTCCTGTAAGCAGCCCTTGGAGGCAGGGGAAAAAAAACAGACTGGCCCCTTTTCCAGGCAGTCTGCGTGTGTTTCAGGAGGGGCCTGGGCTGGTACCCTTCACTTTCCCCTCTATTCACTCAGTTTTCTACCTTTATAGTTAGCCAGCACCTTCACTTTAGTGGCCCGAGAGGGAAAATCACTCTGAAGTGCTTTGAGAAGGGCCTTAAACTCGTATCCTATCACCCTTTTACCTATTGGGCCAGAAAACGACTAATGTTTGCCATGCGTTCTTACTCATACTTTTAACAGATTATCTCAAAATAGTTTTTTTTTTTTTGGTAAGTAGACATTTGATATTAGTACTAGGGTACCCATCCATGTAAAATGAGCCTCTGTGAAAGGGATGAGACACTAACTGGGCTGGAGGGGTTTGCTAAATATTTAGCAAACAGCAGTGGAGGGTGTGAAATGCCCTCGGGAGCCATCCCGCAGGCTGGGGCCTTCCCTGTGCTCCAAACGGGACCCTGCATCCCGGGATGCAGTGTCCTGAGGATGGGAATGCACCAGGCTGCCCTTTGTGCCTGTTGCTGCTCCCACGACCCTCCCTGGGGTTTGTCTTGGTCTGCGTGACCCAGGAAACAAGGAGGGGCCCTGCTGCCCTAGGCAGGCCCTTGCCAGCTACGGTTCTGTATTGGCCAGCCACAAGGCAGAAGGGTTTGGATATATAAAACAAGTTAAGGCAAAACCACCCTGCCTCAAGCTAAGGTGTACTACATCATTTTTCATAATAAACCACATTACCATGAGAGTAAACATAGCAGAAGCTGGTTCAAACGTGTAGTGTTTGCCTTGCTTTTGACAAAATACTTCTTGTCTACCCTGTCTCAGCAAGGACTACAGCAGTAAAGGCAGCAGGGACTTTTAACTGCCCCCGGGGGCCTTTCTTCCCCATTTCCCTCTGTGAACTCAGCAGAGGTTTAAGTTGAAGCAAGACCCAGCCCTATCCTGACTGAAGGGCACTGCTGCTTGGCACCGGCTCCTCAGCACCAAGTTCTCAGAGCAGGAACTTCTGCTGGGGGTGGCAGCCCTGCTTCTCACCACATGGTCCTCGTGGACAGCTTCAATGAAAGACTGGTTTAATGGTTTACCTCAAACCACCTCAGTGACTTGCAGAACCAGCCAGCTCAGGGCAGTCCCTGCTCTGCACCACAGTATGAACAAGAGAGGTAGAAACAATTCTTGATGCTTAATGCAGCAGTGCTCAAGCCCTTAAAACACTCCATTCTTAAGTAAGCAGTAGCATCCAGCGTAGTATTAGCATCCTCTTCCTTATAGTGTTAGTGTCCCAGGTAGAGTGCCAGAATAAAGCTGCTCCTAGTAGAGGGGTTTGGCAAGTTAGTCAGGACCTTTTCTTTCTACAAAATTTAAAGGCATAATTCATACTGAAAACAACAGTTCTTTATATACTGATATAATCTATTATGTTGCTGGAAAGAGTATAACTCTCCTTGTGTTAAATTTGATTATGGTACCTGTTGAAAAGTCTGAAGTCAGTGTTTTAGTTACAGACCCTGTTTAGCAGAAAGATACCCTGAAAATCGAGCAGTTTAAGAACTACATCACAACCTTATTCCAGAACATCCAGCACGAGAAGGGGTAGGGGTTACATTTTCCTCTTATTAAAGGAAATAAGTTGAAACAACTTCAGTATTAAAGTTTAATATCAAACAATTTGCTCATTGTTACCAATTTTCAATTACAAAACAGGCTCCAAAAAAATTTCATAAAATATGTTTAACTTGCTGAACACAGAGTTAAGGATGTCCAGACTTTGAGGGTAAATATCCATAATTTTTTTGGTATAAATTATCTACAAAAAAATGGTATAAACAATCTCCAATCTCAGTGTGGGTTCCATCTAACATTAGACAAGTTTTCATAGCGACATCCACCAAGCACTAAGAACTAAAGTTCATTCCCGTTGACACATTTTTGCTGCTGCAGCCTGCCTTTGCGGAGCGCCTCCAGCTGCTTGGCTCTCAGCCACCTCTCTCGTGACAGCGTCGTCTGCCCCGCGCTGAGGGACAGGAACCTAGAGGGGCAGAAAGAGCAGGTAAGAA